AAAAACACTTATGGTAAGATCTCTGTCATTTTTCATCTGCCATCTTTATTTGTTAATTTGCATATTTGTTATTGATGCGGTTTGTGGGTCGTTCTTTGTTTTGTACGGGAAAAACCTGTAAGAAGCAAACAAATAAGTAATCAAACAAAGTGGCCAACTTTGATTTTTTGGCTGCCCATGAGTATTTTGTGGATAAAGTACCATTCATTCAGCCTGAATTAATTTACTGTATGAAGTAAATTATTTTGATTCTTGAAGTGGTTTAATTATTTTCTGTATGAAGTTAAATCAAGTAAGTTTTATTCATGAAGTTTGTACTTTTGTTTTTTTTTCTTTTGGTATACAATAGTGCTATATATTGAAAGATTTGATTCGGTTCCTATTCAATCTATTAATTTATTGATTTTTTTGGTGATCTCATCTTTGATTCATGTTTAATGCGTACCGATTATTGATTCATGTTCATTAAGAATAGGGCAATGGACAAGCTCCTATGCAATCCACCGGCAATATGAATTGTATTTTGCGGTGGAGAAATCTATTTTTCACCCTAAATCTCTTTCGTGTTTTTGTTGGATCAGTTGTAAGAAAATTAGGACATTGAAGGACATATTTGACGCATTACTTTGGTTCCTATGTCCCAAATCTCTGCAAATTCATATTAGTCTTGCTGTCGCGGTTTCGATTAGATCCGGTAAGCAGCTACTAATGCTTCTTTGTCTGTGTACGTAAGTTGTCATTTTGTTTTCTGCTCATATGTTTCAGGTGTGTTTTGCCTGATTCTTTTTTGAATTTAGTGGCTTCATATGGAACTTATTATAGCCACAAAAAGCTGCAACCTTGATCTAAGGAAAAAATATTAAATTTTGAATTTTTTAACTTTACATATTGAAAAAGTTCTTTGATTGATTAAAATCATGGTTTTGCATATTTATGTTTGTTTAAACTTCTACTTATTCTGCTATGAGTTTGGGACTGTCAAGATAAATCTTTTCTTCTGTAGTTGAAAAAGTTTGAACTTTTAAACAACAACTTCTATCTTTTGTTGAGATTTAAGCTTACATCAACTTTGGCCACTTGGAATTGGTCCAACTTTGTATATTTAGCATTGAAATACTTACAGTTTTTGAATAGATTTGGAAGCTCTATGAATTACTGCTCAACTTTTTAGTTTCTGAATTTACTGACTAAATGGTATGTAATTAACTAGATTTTCGATTCTGTAGCATATGATGGTAACCGAAAGTAAGTTATATTGCATGCAATGGCCATTGCACAAAGAAGGATTTGATTTTGGTATAGTTTACAAATAGAAAAGCAGACTAACTGCTGTTTTTCACCCAAAAAAGAAAGAAGATCATGGTCTCAGAGCCCTTCAACATTATTTTAATGATGAAAACAGTACAAAGCAACCGAGTATCAACCTTTTGAGACTTCCCAGTTTGAAGAAGTCATTAACTTACATTTTCTATTTGATAGATCCTACACTATTTGGTAGTGTTTTTCACAGACATCATGCTCGTTATATCAAATGTCAAATTCCAATGCTTTGATTAGACGATCAATTTCATTAATGTAAACATATGATACAAATAAAGAAAAAAAAAACATATAAATAGTAATGTTGATCGTGGATTTATCGATATTTGCTATTCAATATTCAAACGAGTAAATAAATATGTGAACATAGAAATGTGATTTAAGTAGTAGTGTTGACCGTTGCAGGAATTTCCGGTAATGGAAATGAGTGGTTGCACTTCTTTTATAATTTTGAACCACCTTTGGTTTATAGCCTTATACAAACAAATCTTCTTTTTTTTTTTTTGGGGGTTGAATACAATTGAGCCTTCCTCTCACATGAATATATAACTTAGCTCTTAAAAATTATGTTTTTATTGTTATTTTGCTGAAAGAAAATTTTATTTCATAAAGTAAATGCCCGGCCAAAACATCTAGTTATGCATTAAGAATACATAATGCTTCATTTTTATTTTTTCGCCTAAGAATTTCTTTATATTGCTCTAGTGAATCAAACTTCTCATCCTTACAAGAGGAGTTTGCATTGTTTGCTCTTCAGACATAGATCACGACATGTAAGTTGGCGTTAATTGAGGCATGGAATTTGGGTGTAGGAAGAGTTCCAGTTCATTCGCGTTGGAGCCTGGTAGGAGATGTTGACATAATCAGGAAGTGGTTAAGGCGCACCAAGAGTGTTGTCACGGGCTTACTTTTTCAAAGTAACGGCCGTGCGGCACTAGCACAAAACAACTAATGATCAAGTGCTAGCTCAGCCTTAAGACCCTCAAAACGTGCAAAGCTAGGCAAGGCCTTAAAGAACGGAGGCAAAGAAAACTTAAGAAATGTTGAAAGTGAAAGAACGATGAAGGCACAAGAGAGCTTAAGGAATGCTTGAGAACTCTACTCAAAGCTTGGATGGATTACAAATGAAGGGGGCATGGGGTATTTATAGGCAAACCCCCAAGTCCTAAAGAATTCTAGAGAATTCGATGTACATAATAAAATAATGGAATTCTAGAGAATTCCTACAATAAAATATTCTAAGTTCAAAATATCTACAAGTCTCTAGAATCTTCCACACGGTTCTAGCAAACTCGGGTAGCTTCCACACGGTTCCACTCGTTTCTAGAGAGTTCCGGGCCTCTCTAGAAAATTCTAGAGTCTTCAAGATTTGACCGGAGAATTCCACAAGGCTCTAGACCGTTCCGTCCCATGTCCGTCTACGAAAATAGCCCGTTTCGCATCAAACCACCCGAATTCGTGGTGAAGAAAAACTGTCCATGACATCCTCCCCCACCAAAATGGTGCATCGCCCCGATGCACCTAAGTCTCGAAGGCAATGTTGATAGGAACGGGTGCACGATTCTCCTCAAAGTCCTCGATCAATTTGGTGAATTGCCAAAGCTTCTCGATTGGCTCCCAACTCGTCTCACTCATTGGCAAATTCTTCTATTTCACCAAGTATTCTTTAGTTGCTGCCCCGCTCCTGCCCCGAACGATCCTCTTAGAAAGGATCTCCTCTGCGGTCCGTTCCTCATGCTCGCGTACGCCAGCTGGTGCCCTTGAGGAAATGTTCCGTTCTTCGTCCTCTGGGTCCTTGCGGTATGGCTTAAGTAGGCTCACATGAAAGACTGGATGAAGCCTTGAGAAGGCCTCGGGTAGCTCCAGCTTGTAAGCAACCGAACCCACTTTCTTAAGAACGGTGAAAGGACCCTCGTATCTGCGCATGAGACCCTTGTGTAGACCACGGCTCCATCCATGCTCATAAAACTTCACCAAGACTTGGTACCGATGTCATGGACAGTTTTTCTTCACCACGAATTCGGGTGGTTTGATGCGAAACGGGCTATTTTCGTAGACGGACATGGGACGGAACGGTCTAGAGCCTTGTGGAATTCTCCGGTCAAATCTTGAAGACTCTGGAATTTTCTAGAGAGGCCCGGAACTCTCTAGAAACGAGTGGAACCGTGTGGAAGCTACCCGAGTTTGCTAGAACCGTGTGGAAGATTCTAGAGACTTGTAGATATTTTGAACTTAGAATATTTTATTGTAGGAATTCTCTAGAATTCCATTATTTTATTATGTACATAGAATTCTCTAGAATTCTTTAGGACTTGGGGGTTTGCCTACCCCATGCCCCCTTCATTTGTAATCCATCCAAGCTTTGAGTAGAGTTCTCAAGCATTCCTTAAGCTCTCTTGTGCCTTCATCGTTCTTTCACTTTCAACATTTCTTAAGTTTTCTTTGTCTCCGTTCTTTAAGGCCTTGCCTAGCTTTGCACGTTTTGAGGGTCTTAAGGCTGAGCTAGCACTTGATCGTTAGTTGTTTTGTGCTAGTGCCGCACGGCCGTTACTTTGAAAAAGTAAGCCCGTGACAGTGTGAATTATAATGACCCGGTATCTGAACTCATTGTTCTGATTAATTCGTATGTGAGTCGGTAAGATCTCTTTCAGGTGGTAAAATTCTCGCAACAAATATTTTAATCACTGTTGCATATGCATATCAATGATTGATCTACATTATAGTTAAACTGTCTTAATATCTTTACCACTTGGACCAATAACTTGCAATCGTATAGATACAACAATTTTACTTTACTAACTTACAATGTAGTCACATTTCCTTTTCTCTTGGCCCTTGGTAATATGTATACTAACGTGACCTCCCTTGCAGTCAACACTGCTAAAAGACATGCACGATCATTTGCTTACGAAAATGGATGTATCTCTACTGTTTAGTAGTTGTGTAACATGGGATTAAAAATTCACAACACAAATATCTTGGAATTCAGAAGAACCTATGGCCTAAAAAAGTCAAAATATCTGACCACATGCAATCCAACAGCGGGGATAGGCCAGTCATTACAAGTAATATAACACCAAATTAAAGGTCCTTTTAATAAACACAAAAGCAAAGGCAAGAAAAACTCAAATGACCCTTTACTTTAACCAACCACTGTCAGCACCATTACCGATCTAGAGTGTGCACAACCAATTACAAGATGTATATTATTTTCATCAAATAAAAGATGTAAAACCATTTGGTGACTCAAATCAAAAGAGATATGTCAAGAGGGCTTGAGGATATCACTTTCAGCCAGACTTGCTTTGTTTCTTAGGATTTTTTGATGGTATTTTTAAAATATTTAAATAATACATGTCCTATCTCAGCATACCTTTTTACATTTTCAATACAATTTTTTACATTTCTAATATAAAAAATATCTAAAAACACACACTAAAAAAATGAAATAAACATAATTAGATCAACCTAATAACTCATTAATGCAGCTAACACTGTATTACTGTACTGTGTTCATTAGTTTAATGTTGCTTAGCAACATAATATCTTTCCATTGTGTATATCTATGACCTGTGGCACGTGCGATTTTTGCAACTTGATCAACTTGCCTAATGACTTTCCATTAATTAATTAATAGCAACCATTATCTTTAATCACAATTCAATGTTGCTGTCTAGTTTAAGTTTTAAGAAGATATGATGATGGATACTACTGGATAGAGAAATGAATTTTCGATTGAAGTTCCATTTCTTCTAGGGGCTAAAACCAAAGGAGGTTCAGAAGGTATTTAATCTTCTTTTTTTATTTTCTTTTTTTTTTTGGGGCTAAGATAACTTCATGCTAAATTAAACTGTGTAAAAGTATTAATTTGGTGGAGGAGCATCAGCACAAAAAAAGTAAATGGAGTTTCCCCTTTAGGTGGGGAGGTGCCTCAAGATCCAATCAAAATCGATTGCTGGTTGCTCTGACAAATCATTCATTACCTATTGTAGGAATGTTGTCTCCCTATCTCATATAGATAACACATTTTCAGCTGCCATGCAATAATATCTTCGTAAATTATTCATTAATTTATTTGGGTGTGTATTCTTTTTGAATTTTGATGGTGCTTTTTTATAAAAATGCAAGGATGGTTTTGTCATGTAGTACTATGTTTTATTATCCTCCCCAATTTGCATTTCCTCTGCACAGCTCATCATCATCATCGCCCAAAACAGCTGAGGCTGCTGTAAGCAGTACATCTTGGAAGAAGCCCTAATCTTTTCTGGGTTCCAATTTAACTGTTATTCTTTTTTTGGATTAGTTTGGTGAATTTGGATGGCATGGAAGCCAACCCGTTGAGTAAATTAGCTTTCTTGCTTGGGAATTTGAGGGTTACTTGAATTTCAGCTGACAAGGAGGGAATGGTTTCAGGTCAGTTCTCTTTTTTAGTGCTTTTCGAGCAATCTGTTGGTTGTTTGGGTCCAATTTTACTTATTGAAAACTCCACTATTGATTAATTGTTGTTTGGAATTTCTGCCCATGTGGATGAATTCCAGAGTTGGAATGGCTCAAAGATTCTGGCTTTACATCACACGAATTGGTTGTTCTTGCCACAAATAGATACTTGTAGATTAAGCTACGCTGATAATAGGGTTATCCAATTGAATATCCATCCTTGGAGATAAAGCTATGCTTTTTACGGGGTATCCCTAGGGTCAGAAGAGCATCAAGATTCTGTCTTTACATGTTCATATTGTTGAATTCCATTAAATACTTGCGGATTTAGCTGTGGTTTATGATAGGAGCTGTGGTTTGAGTTAGCTAATTAACCGCATTCCCTGAAACACTACTGTAGATATGAATATCCATGGAGCGAATTCTCGTTCTCCTTTTATACCCGGTGAACTTTTCCTGCTGGAATGCAAAAGAATGGAGAACTCTGTTAAGTTAGCAGTAGCTAGATGATTAGCTTTCTTCCTTGTTCTGCTGCTAATTTGTCTCTCTTTGTCTGGCTCAGTCCCTCCATATATTGTGTTTCGGAACCGCCTATCAATGTTTTTATTCCAATTGTGTTTTGGAATCGCCTATCCATTTGAGGCCATGTGATCTTGGATATTTAATGTTGATGTTATGCTATGTTTCTCCCTGCTAAGCTTTCAGCTGGTCCTACTCCGACATCATTTGTTTTTGTTTTTTTACTTGAAGTCTTTACATTTGATGTTACTGCAACCTATGCAAATGCAGTATCAAAGAGTTCTAACGAGTTAACAAATTTCATAAGCTGAAATTCTTTCAACTTGCTATATTTCCAAACTGTTAATATTTCTCTAGCATAAGTAGTTCGTGCAGACTAGCTTGAAAATCAACTTCAATGCTCTGAATTTGTATCAATGTAGCGGGTACTTCTCTGCCTGCTGTTGCCTTTCTTGTTGTTGACTTGCAAGACGATACTGTCTTCAGTGTACAAAAATACATATGGACAATCTCATTCTTAGATACTAGAGGCAAGATTCAAAAGAAGTGTAGTTTCTGTTGTTCTGCCTTTGGTTTTGTCACTTTTACCTCATAGTTATTCATTATTTCTCACATTCATCTTTGGGTTATACGTTATCAGTGTTGGACTTATTCTTTTCATGATGAGTTGAGTTTTGAACTGCTTTTTCCAGTGCAGGGATAGAGTTGGAAAAAAGCATGCAGTTTATTTGGCTTCTTCTGTGTTATGGACAAGAGCAGATGGAACCACGATTCACTTAATCTCGGCGATCACAGCACTAGCGATGTCATTATTTGCCTGAGGACTAAGGAAGACAGGCAAAAATTATTCTTACATGTACACTCTTTTGTTTTAAGGGAGAAGAGCAAGTTTTTTGCAAATAAGATCTCTCAACCAGATTTTTACAGTCAAATAGAGATTCATTGCTCAGAGCTAGATTTTAATCATCACGTTGAACTCGTGAAGCGTCTCTACTGTCCCCGAGACTTACTCCTGGACTCGTGGGGTTCCGTACAATCTGCAATCGGGGGTCTCCAAGTGGCTGCTGTACTGGGGTGCGAAGAGATCATAGAGAGTTGCATCCAGTATTTGGAGGCTGTTCCTTGGGAAGACAAGGAAGAGGAAGAAATTATAAAACTGGCAAAAAAGCTAGGCCCAGTGGCTATGCCTATACTGGCTAGGATTAAACCAGTTGATCTAGTCGCTACCAAGAATGTATTTATCTCAGCAATTCGCTTTGCCACTTCGATTGGAGATCCATGTCCCCCGTTTGGAGACGAGCTCAAAACCTCAGCTCAAGAACAAATTGATTACATGCTAGGGGATGATGAAGATGTGCCTTTAATAACGGCTGATGATGATGTGAAATTGGAAGCCAGAAGTGGTCTTTCTAATCTCTGTTCTTGTTTTGGAAATAAATTGTCGATGCTGCTGCTTTTGGATTCAGAAAAAGTCGACCCATGTGATTACTCTTCAGCGGAAGACACAGCATTGCGTATCCTGTCTGATCTGGAGTGGATGTGCAATATCCTTCCCAAAATGGACCTGATGAAGGATTTTGTAGCTAGTTGGGTAGAAATGTCAAATAAAATTTTGGTGATAATCAGTGATCAGAAACTTGAGGCCGTTTTTTGGGGTATGAAAGTTAAATTAATAGAACTCACTGCAAAAGTATTGGAAGCTGTTGGGTATGGGAATGTGATTCTTCCAGCAGAGTGCCGAGTCCATTTGCTAAAGATGTGGCTTCCATACATAAGAAAAATGAAGCCCCTTTTAGATTCAATGGGTCAGAAGGAGACCAAGTTTCCACACAAGATGGATGAAGAACTATGCCAGAACATCGAGGGAGCCATTGTGTCATTAATATTGGCATTACCGTCTAACGATCAAGCTGACATCCTCGCCGACTGGATGGTGATAAACAACAGCGCCGAGCAAGTCACATATCCAGACCTAAGCGAGGCATTTGAAGTCTGGTGCTATAGAACCAAGTCCGCCAAGCGAAGACTGGTGGAAGGCGGCAGCTTAGACCAAGTTGGTAATAACAACACTGTCAGTCTTTAAGCATTAGTCGACTATACCATCTGTTGTTGATGTATGATCATTTTTTTTTGTTTTTTTGGTTTATGTTAGAGGGAGACCAAGGTCTCCGATTGAACTTGTGCTTTCACAAATAGATTTTTTTTGTACTGGGAACTTTTGTTTTGTTCCAGTTCCTGGTAACTTCCCTGGTTCCTTCCATCCTGATGCTCTTCTCAACATGACAAATAAAGTATGGGGAGATTAGCAAAACCTTTGTAATAGGAAAAACAATATCCTCAGCTAATAGATTCTGTGTAACCAGAAGGGGAATTTAGAAACCCTTTTAGCAGAGCACATAGGTTTCCTGTTGTCTGCTAAAAAAGCAGCAGAAATATCACATATTGATTCCACACTGGTTGTAAGTGCAAGCCTAATCAGGGATGTGGATTTTGTTGCCATTGTTTTCTGAGGCAAGACTATTTATTATTATGTGACTAATGGTTTCATTAGAAAAATGGTCTACTTAAGCCAACCAACCAGCAGCAGCAGCAGCCAGGCTGTCCTCTTCCTTCACCCTCCCCACAAGAAATTTCCTCCTGTAGATTGGTGGCTAGATGGAGCAGTATTAGTTGATGTTACAGCTGAGGTAGGCAGCTTTAATTGATTTTTATTTTAAGCCTCATGATTTATTTATTATTATTATGGAGAAGTAATCGAAATTACCTATACTACTGTTTTGTGTTTGTAGGTTGGGAGACTGTATAAATGTTAATGTTGTGCAGTTTAAACAAAAGGTTAACAGCTTTTTTTTAAAGGATTTTAACTTCCTCATGGTATTTGTCAAAAATTAAATGTAAAAGCAAACAAAAAAAAAAAAAAATTGTATTGGTGTTGTATTCTTGTTGATACTGTGTAATTTTTTAATTAAAGTTTGTATATTATCACGAAGTGTCATTTCTTATAACTTTTCGAGGTTACAAGTGATTCCTTCTAATTTTTGGATGATCATTATCATTACTACTAGATAGGTTTCTCTTCACTATCATAATTCTTGATAAGTTTGCAAGATTAATACTATCTGTCAGTCTAATATTAATGATAGAGTATCCTCTAATGTTTTAGGATGTATAATTGGTGTGGTGGACAAAGCTCATTTGTGATTTCCAAAAGTCCCAAAATAGTAATCCAAACAAACTATAGCCATTTAGAAATGATTTGTTTCTTTAGTGTCAATAAATATCAATCAGTGGGGTTGATTGCAAGTATGACATTAAGTTGGTTTTCTTGACGTTTTATTATTTTTGGGAGTCAATTAACAATCGGATCCAAGCAACTTAATCTTTAAGTTACAGCAAAATAAGGAGTCCGGGAGGGTTCCATCCACCTCTTGTTAGCTCCTCCGAATGAAGTTAAATCGTGGTTAGAACATGATTTTACTGGAATCTCTTATCCACGTTATATTATGATTTCGTGTAACTAGACTTTGACCTCTTTTAATTGTACCACCAAAAAAAAAGTACTACTAATCTTACATATCTTTAGATACTATATATCAAACAAAAACTCTCCTCTTATATACGTTTTCCTATGTAATGATTCTACTAATTTTACTGGAATCTCTTATCCACGTTATATTATGATTTCGTGTAACTAGACTTTGACCTCTTTTAATTGTACCACCAAAAAAAAAGTACTACTAATCTTACATATCTTTAGATATTATATATCAAACAAAAACTCTCCTCTTATATACGTTTTCCTATGTAATGATTCTACTAATTATTCCTTAAACTAAAAATTTAGGATAAAGTAATTTGGTAAACCAAGTTGATAACGACTAACTAGTGCTTATTAATCTTAATCCTCCCAAAAAGAAAGACAGCGGAATAGGGTTTTTTTTTTTTTTGGTTATGTTTTTGTTTTTGGGGTCGATTTGATAATGATTAGGCCAACAAACTAAAAGCATTGAATTGATGATTCAGAAAAATAGCTGCTAATATCAACAAAAGAGATTTCCCTTTTTCCCATTTGTTGTTCCCAGTTTCGTCTTTCCTTCCTTTCCCCCCTTCCATCGTATTATTCATATATATCTCTCTCTATTTATATCCTTCTCCTCCTTTTTTGTGCATAATTCCATAAATATCTATTACATCATCCATCATCACTTGCCTTTTCTGTATCTTCGATTTCACGAAGAAAGGTTAGATCTTTTGCCTATCCCCCATTTGATTGTTGATATATACACGCTGGAGTAGTTTTCTTCTTCAATTTTCTAATTAGGGAATTTTTTTTCCGATTTGGGTTTTTGATTGATTGGTGAAAAAGGATATAGTGGGAGGGGAGGAGGAGTATATATGCTGAGAGAGCAAACGGGCGTTTAAGAATTATTGTTGAATTGGAGGAGTTTGCGTAAAAGATTTATTAGCTGGGAATCAGAAGGGAAAAAATTAAATGGCGAATTTTTTCGTGAAGGCTGTGCCCCCTACGGATCTGAATAGGAACACGGAATGGTTCACGTATCCAGGAGTTTGGACCACTTATATATTGATCTTGTTCTTCTCTTGGTTGATGGTGCTTTCTGTATTTGGTTGTTCTCCTGGCATGGCTTGGACTGTTGTCCATCTCTCTCATTCCTTGGTAATTAAAACCCTTCATTTTTCTCCAAATATCTTCTTTTTAAGTTAATGCCGTGAAGCTTATTGTATTGATTTTTTGTTTCTGCAATTTCTTCTGAGCTGGGTTGTTTTTAGTTCTTTCCTGATAGCATGTTTTTTAAAGCGATTTGATTTTATGCTTACTCGTACTGTGTATGATTTGTGGGATTAAGAAGCTTATTTATTTTCTGTCTATGCGATCATCTAATGAGCTAGTTTATTCCTTGTTCTTAATTGTTTCGGTTTCCCTAATAGTATGTGCTGAAGTCTTACTTGTGGCGTTCATGTGTTGAAGTTGTTTTTTTGTTAATTTTATTGTTGTGTATTTAAGTCTGGGGATCTTGAAGCTTATATATGTTCTGTTCCTGTTTCCTACTATCTTAGCTAGGTTGTTCTGTTTTAGGGGATAATTGGTGTTAAAGACGTGACTCTTATGTTTGTTTATGCTTAGATTGCCTTTTGGGATTATTATGGAGCTTATTGATTTTCTGTTCCTGCACCCTACTTTGTAAGCTGAGTTGTTCTTGTTTTCGGATAATGTGATCTGTGCTTTATATCTAAGTTTGCCCTTCTTTGGGTTTATGGTTGTAATGTCGGATCCCTTTTAGGCTTTCTTTAGAACAGCAATTCTGATTGTGGAGGTTATTAGAGTTTGTTTGGCATTTGATGTATCACATGCTCTTAAATTTTGCTCTCTGCAACTAGTTAAGTTTGCCTTTTTGCTCTTTTTCTGTTTGCAAGCAACTTCTTTTTGCCAATTGTTGGGATTCATATGTGACCGATTTAAAGTGTGTAGTTGTCACTAGAAGTTTGTCTATGAAGACCTTTTTTTCAATATATCCACCGAATCTCCCTGACCATTTCTAGTATCTTGGCAATCTAGTATTGCCCAGTATCCACTCTTCCTCAGGCCTCTTGTACTGTACAGTTTGAGAGTCTCAGCTTCTATATATAAAATGTGTATCTGCTTCTTCTAACTGGCTGGAGTAGGTTTTGCACATGATGAAATTGAAACTTTGTTTAATTTTTTGCCACATGGTTCGATCAGTATCTAATTCGACTTATCTATTGCGTAGATTACGTATCACTTTTTCCATTGGAAGAAGGGAACTCCTTTTGCTGATGATCAGGGTATCTACAACAGGCTGACTTGGTGGGAACAAATAGATAGTGGCAAGCAACTCACTCGTAATCGAAAGTTTCTCACTGTTGTTCCCGTGGTGTTGTGAGTATCTATCTTTTGCTTTTGTTTTATATTATCTGAAAGTCATGGGATTTTTGTCCTATTTAATAGTTCAGCAGTTTCTGTCTCCTATTGCATCATGCGAGCGATACTGTGCACTGTTAGGATGAGTTTCTATCTCCCGAAATTATATTGTGTTTCCCAATTTTTCCTCAGTAAAAAACCAGTTAGTTCCAGGTTTGAAATCTCCAAGTTAAGCTTTCATGCAATGTCAGTTGAGCTTTTATGGAAAAACAATCATAATATGAGAGAAAAGTTAAGGGGGAAAAACTTAATTTATGCTCATGTATCAGTTTGTCACTGGTCTGTCATTCAGGGGGATTAACTGTTATTTAACTCTCCTGTCAAGGAGGTATTGTTAAGTAATCAGACCTTTGTACTTTTGTCTACTATGACTAGAGCAGTTTGTTTTTGATTGGGTATCTTCCTTTTAGTGGCAGACACTGATTTCTGCTCTGTCCAGGGAGCAACTAAAACTTCGAAGATTTTTTGCTGTCAGTTTTTTGATGAAAAAGAATTTCACCAAACCTATTACTGTGGGCTGTATTCTCCCTTTCTTTTTGTGTTTCTGAACCTCATTTAAGTAACCAGTTGCTGATGCATTTGCAGTTTTTTTCCCTTTCTTATGGTGTTTTGTTTTTAGTCTGTTCCATATGGCTTGAGATTTCTGTTTAGACTTTTACTAGCAATTAGAAGAGTAATTGTGGCAGAGCTTTTAGTAGAAGCTATCATATTAATAAAGCTGTTCCACGTATGATTCCTTGGCTAATGGCTTTGGTTTTTTGTTTGTCTCATAATGGAAGAAATCCTGCTACATCATTATGTTAAAGTGAAGATGTAACAGAAAAGATTAAATTCTTCTGATGCTAGTGGAGTTTATCTTCTTTATTTGTCCATGACTTTTGTGGGGTTTGAGCAGAATACCTTTTCCACTTTCCCTTCTTTCATCCTTGGCCCTCGGCAAGCTTCTTCTTTTTCCCGTTATGAAATTGTTTTAGACCGTTGAGCCTGATCTAGCTAGGAATGCCATCAGGGGGGTTTTTTGGACTTGGGTGCTCTGTGATGAGAAAATAGTACTCCAGTATGTTATTGTTAAACATGGTTCAGTAGGGGTTACAACTACCCGGGGGGTGGTTAATGTTATTGTACTGAGATCATTTAGAATCGCCTAATTGTTCATAGGCAAGTAGTTGTGAACACTTTATTGGGTAAAACATGGTTCAATTTAATTATAGAATTATCACTATGCAATGGGTTGCATATTCCCACTGTGAAAATGGTGTTTGAAACTGTTGAAGATTGTATACATTGTATTTCTCAACCATGTCATGATTTACCTTTCATCTAGTTGAGACCAGGGGGTATTTTTAATTATATTTTTTTTTTATGAAATCTGTTTGGTCTGGCAGGTACTTGATAGCATCACACACGACCGATTATCAACACCCAATGCTGTTCTTCAACACGCTGGCAGTGTTCGTTCTAGTGGTTGCCAAGTTTCCCCACATGCACAAGGTTCGTATTTTCGGGATAAATGCAGATCAGTGACTGGGAAGGCATCGCGACGGAATGCTACACAAGTTCTAGTTTTTCAGCCTGCAATATTTTCAGTCGTCTGACATATACAATGCAGTAGCGCTAGTCGTGGATGAACTTGTACAGCTAAGAGTACCAACATTATGTTTACTTGGTGAATATGTGGGCTTATTTCTCTGGGATTTGAGGTTTTGTACAAGCGGACATTGCTGAAATTGTAATCAGCATAAACCCTAAGTCAGGGACCTTTGTAAGTCATCTGTTTTGAAGAAGATAAAGCAGTAAAAATCATGTCCTCCTTATTCATGTAGTAGTAGAGTTTCCACTTTTCCAGTTTGTTAAACGAAGGAAATGAACTTTGGAGAAAATACGCTGCACTTAAATAAATCATGAACAAGCTCTTTTTCCGAGTTTGGACGATTTAGAGGTCATTGTCCTGCACTGGCAATTTGGCCGGCTCTGATTTGGAGTTTTGACTCTTTTTTATCTCTCTTGGTGTTCCGCCTGGTGGATACATATATAGTCTTTTTCTTTTCACATCAACAAAGGAACAATATTTAGGCGCAGTTGCCCCTCTGGTTGAGTTCTTTGTTTATGTTGGTCCAGAAGTAGAAGAACCTAACTATCCAACAAGGCTGCACATCTTGATTAAACCATTTTGTTGACAAAATTGCAACTGATGGATGGATGATCAACTAAGAAATAGTGCCAAAGTTATGAAATTGAAGGTGTCATTTTTTTATTTTTGTTTTCATTTGTGAGCCCCAAAAATCATTCTGAATTGGCCATACTTATGCTTAGCCCTCAAGTCATTAGTGGACAGCAAGGTGTGAGTGTGATTTGAGTAGAGGTTTGCGCATTGAGTTTTCCAATTTCCATTTTAGCCAAAAGGGAGCAGGACGGATTTGGTAATTAGAATTCGGAAGACATGGAAGCCTTTTATATAACTTTGAACTATGGAAAGTGACATCCATAATACACACACATACTGGATTCTGATTTAGGTGTTATGGTCATACTTCAAAAAAAGGAAAAAAAATTATTGTGCCGTTATAATTTATTATAAAAAGAAAAAAAAAATGAAGGTGAAGTTGTACTCTCTCGCCTTTGAGTGAGAAGAGTTGTTGACGCATAGATTAGTTTCTTCAGAATTTTCATTTTATTGAAAATCAAAATATGCATCAGTACTTATTACAAAAAGTTAAACTTTCAAAATTACACGAGTTTTTTTTTACCCCCTTTATTTGAAAATGTAAGTCTTTTTAACCTCTATACATAAACTAAGAAGATAATCATTTAATGATTAATTTATGTGATAAACGTTTATTTTGCCCTTCATTAATTGTAATCAGGACTAGATAGGAAGTATTGGAGGGCAAATTTGGGAAGTTTATTATTAATTTACCTTAAAATCTTAAAACGACTTACATTTTGAAATATTTTTCAAAAATTAAAACGATTTACATTTTGAAATGAAGGGAAAATATCTTTAAAGTAAAACGGAGACTTCATGTGAATGGATCAAGATGAGTGTAATGTTGTATCGATCAAAATATGCATCAGCAATGTCTTTTTTTTTTTTTTCGGGAATTAACCCGTGATCAGAGTATATACAGTAAATATTTGGATTCTACATATTAGAGGTTGAAAAATAAAAAAAAATAAAAATAAAAATGGCAAAGTGGATGTGTTGGAAATTGACAAAAAAACAGTTTAGGTACGGAACTGAAACATACATGAAGAAGTGGAGTACAGCAAAGAACAAGCGAGAAGCTGCCACCACCACCACCTCATCACCATACAAATATACAGTAGTATAACCACTACTGTAGACTGACTGCTAAGAAATCCATGAACTACCAGAGCTAGCAGGTATAATTCAGATCTAAGCTTAATTAAGGTAGCACTCCATCTATTAATAAACAAAACAAAAATAATACTCTACTGTACAATAATAAAACTAATACAGTACTAACGTAGTAGGGTCAAAGTTTCCTTTTTTTTTTCCAAGTCTTCTTTTGCACATTGTTCGAGGGGAATGTTTTTTTTGCTAGTTGGTTCCACGCCTGCATGACTCCTACTACTATACTGCTGCAGATCAAAGGAATGAATGAAAGAAAACCAAACAAAAATGATTTTCTGGGTTTTTGGACAAAATCTCTTTTACTGAATTGATCTGTTACTTTTTAAATAAAAATATATATTTATATAAAGAGAAAGCAAATTGACATACACATAGTAAGATAACTAGGGGTAAAAGGAAACAATAACAATGATCATTTGTTTTGAAACTTGAAACTTTTTCCCACCACCCATTGGAATTAAAAATTATTCCTTTGTCTATGTGCTCCCCGAAAACAAAATAAATAAATAAATATTTTTAAAAAATTATAATGATCATGTTGTGAGGTTTTAAATGTGGAAGTAAAAAATATATAGTAGGTACACAGGTTTTACTTGGTCGTCTAGGTTTAGTTGGAAGTAGTAGTACTTCCTTTTTGTACCCATTTCTTGTTTGCTTGCTGTTTGCAAGTTTCCCCAACTCGGACCATGAATGCATCATAAAATATATTTTTCCTGTTCCAAAATTATTGTCTAGTTTCATATTTGACTTTTAGTACAATTTGAACTAGAAATGAAAAGACAAACTGGACAATAATTATGAGACGAACGGATTATGTATGTATTCAGATGTGATTTTAATTTCTACTTTTACGAAGTCAAAAAAGTTCTAAACATTATCGTATGTTCAACTAACTACCTACCTACGAAGTAGTCCTCCAAACCTAGTTTTCGTTCGCGTCCTACTTTCTGAAACGTGGTTTTGCACCACTTGAGTTTCGTTGGCGCTTAATTACTGTTTTGTTTCTTCACTGGATTTTGGCACCATGAATTTGGTTTTGGAAACCAAACCTAGCTACATATGCCAAAAAGATCATGCTCCTTTAATTAAGTCTCAGTCAAATATTAAATAGTACTCCCTCCGTTTAAAAAAATAATAATAATTCCCATTAAATTTTGAATTTTATACCGTTTTTAATATAAATTTAAAAATTTAATATAGACTATTTTTATGGGTCGGAGGAAATACATGGAAAGAGACAGACAGAAATTAACTACGTACAAAGAAATGAAGAACAACAGTTAATTTAATTTGATAATCATCACCCAGAGAATACCAAATTGATACAAATATACAAACATATCAATTTACAGGAATTAACACGACTTTCTCCCCCCTTCGGACTTTCTCCCCTCTTCGATCTCCATATTTTCATACACACGCATGACTAAAAACGTCCTTCGTCATCTATTTTTCTCCGTCTTGATTCCCATGTAAATTCTGGAACTCTAATTAATTCGGTATGCATATCATACCTCGATTTCCGGAATATACTACACATATCTTCTCCATATCATATTTCTTTTACAATTTTCGACCAACAAACAATATGATTCATTTTTGGGCAAACCTACTCTATATAATGTGTTAGCCCTTCAAAAACCTGGGTTTGTTTTTTCATTTTCTTGCAGGTCACCTTGAACTCCTCAAATTGTCTCTAAGATTAACTAGCTAACTCTAGTAATCATCAATGAAGTCTCCAAATTCTTACCATTATCAAAAGTAAAAGAGGAAATAGACTTTATAAAACTGGACATTGATAAAAAGAAAGAAAAGAGAAGTCTCTTCTACAAAGCATTTTTTTGTAATATATATATCCTATGATCATGAGAGTTAGTTTAATATCAAGAAACCCAAACCAATCACCCCACTAATACTACAATTGATGAACTTTAACTAAATCCCAGAAAATTAAAAGAAAAAATCCCAATTAATGAAAAAAAAAAGTGAAAATGGCAGACTCTAAAAAGAAGAAAAAAATCATGGGAAAATTTGAACCTCTTTATTCTTCTCTTCAAAATTTTACCATGATCCTCCTCCACCACCACCACCGCCACTACCACCACCACCTCCTCCTCCTCCTCCTCCTCCTAGTATCCCACTCCAATATCCGGTTGTATCGCCGCCGGCGCCGCCATGCTGATCTCTATTTTCTCCGGCTGAAGTATTAGAATTAGTATTGGAAACTTGCTTGAGATCTTCAAAAGGAAATAAAAGCCTCCCATTACTTGACTGATGATGATCTTGCACACTACTCCCATGTAGGCTGCTGCTTCCAATCCCAAGCCCATCCAAAGAAAAACTCAGGGAAGACGGCTTAAATTCCGGCAGAAACATCCCGGCCGATGAGCCCTGAAAAACCGAACCCCCAGCTGGTATACTAGGCAAGAAGGAATTCAACCCTCCTCCCCTAGTCAAAAGCTCCAATGCTGAAAGATGGCCTCCATTATTAGTAGTACTATTAGTATTATTAGTACTTGTTGTGTTGGGAAAATCCTTGCTTCCATTGTTATGGTGCTGATCAAAGTTTGGAACTTGGATTAGCTCAGAAATGGTCTTGAAATCATGAGAGAATCCCAAGTTGAGATCTTGGCCATGATCAAGATGGATCATCTTGCTAATACTATTAGGGTTTTGATGATGATGATGAGAAAGATGGGATGATGATGACATTGGGGGTAGGATTAGATCTGGGAGCTGATGGAGCTTCTTTGAAGATGATGAGGAATTGGATGTTGAAGCAGAGTTAGAGGAAGATAGTGTTGAAGAAGATGACCTTTTGTTCTTCCTAGAACCACCACCCACAGGGATGTTTCTCAAAGATCCACCTTCAGTCCAATATCTCCTACAAGTCTTGCAAAAATACCTTGGCTGAGACAGGCTGTAGTTGTTGTAGTAACAAAATTTGGTGTTGGTTGAGTTGCATCTTGGACAATTTATGGCTTGTTCTTTTTGAGGTCTTGCCAATTTCTTCTGATCCAAACCATTTGAATTTGGTTGTTGCTGTTGCTGCTGCTGCTGCTGCTTTGCTGTGGTGTTAGTTGTGGTACTATTTGGTACTACTATTATCTCTTCCATTGGTTTCAACACTATTTCCTAAATAAAGGAAACATGAGAAGAAATTCATGAGAAAAGCCATACACAAAACTTGTTAACCATCATGTATGCTAAAGCTAATCAAATTAATTAGTTCACATCTTTTTAGGTTTAATTATATTGTTCCAAACTGAAAAGAAAAGTTTACAAGTAATTAATACACCAAGAAGTGAAGGAACTATTATTTCAAAAAAAGAGTTTAAAGAGAAATCTTTAAAGCTAGTACAAGGAAGAAATGAAAAGGTACTAATCTTATAATTCCTTAATATCACAAACAGAAAAAAAAAAAGAAGAAAAAAGCAAAACACAAAGCAGAATTTAACTAAGGAGCTTTGAAGATGTGGGGACTTAAAACTATCAACACCATCATCTGATTCTATCCCTTCAAGTTCAAGTTCTTTTTTTGAAAAAACAAAGCAACAAAAGAAAAGGTAAAACAAAAGGGAAAAAAAAAAGAAAAAAAAAAAGGCTTCATAACACACAAACTGATGATCAATTTACAAGAAGTACTGCATCAGAGAAAAAGTTCACGAAGCTGGAAAATTAAAGATGAAGAGAGCATAAGAACACTTTGAAAGCTTGGATCAGTGTACTTTACCTGATGAGGCCATTGAGCAGTATCCATGGATATGGAGGAATGAATGAAAATCAAACAAAAAAAGCAGACAAGAAAAGAAGTTGATGGTACCTTTCTCTCTTTCTTTTTGCCTTTTTTTTTTTTTTTGAAATTTTTTTGGTGTTTTTCAAGAAGAGAGGAAACTAGAGGCGACCTGCTTTCTGGAAAGTGGGATTAAAAGCAGGAAAAAGGAATGTTTGAGAGAGAGAGAGAGAGAGAGAGGTTGTAATATATGGATCAATGATATCATCTCTTAGTGCTTTTATGTGTGAGCCCTTAGTTGTCAAATTGGACATTCTTCTTTTATGTTTGTTTAGACTTGGAGTACAAAAGTAATATTATGAAATTAATTTTTTTCCTTCCTATAGTGATTAAATTGATTGATTAATTAATTATATTCTGTCAGTGGTGTGTTTTGTGTTAAACAATTACTACAAATCTTAGTGCTAAAGTTATCTTCTCCTGACTATTTTTTAATGTGTCAATATTGGAGCAAGTATATAACTGAGCAAGTAAAATGAACAGGTAAGAATTCTGGATTAAGATTAGGATATTTTTAATTCACTTGAATTTTTATTTTTTATTTTTTGGAATAATTTGGATGCATGTGCTCCCAAGTGGAATGCATTACTCCTTTCATTCTGCCTGGATGTGTATACGGGTGCTTTTTTTATATATAAATAAATAAGAATAATCTTTTTTTTTCCTTTTTCCCCGGTAATAGAGGAATTATAAAGTTAATTACAATTATACATGAAATTTCATACTTCATTTTTTGACCTTCGGAATGGACTCATAGTACAAGTTGACCTCAAATTCGTACTTTCAGGATGAAAGAAATTGTGCATCACTAGAAAAGCCTAAATGATTTGACAATGTTGTTCAAACTACGTGTATATATATATATATATATATATATTCAAGTTCAAGCCTCAGATAGGGTTTTGCATTAGTGAGTAGTGACCAACCAATCCACACTTCATTATCAATATCCCCGTACGTTCTGATTATTTTCTTTCATTTTTTGTACATGAAATATGAAATAATCTCATATTCGCATTTAGAGCATTCATATATATAAGAACTCTGATTTTGCTTCTTTTTTTTCCTTTTTCCCATTAAGAAACTTTACAGCCGCAAATTACTTTGTTGCTGTGATGGATTGAAACCAAAAGGAAAATAAGGAAGCCACATCTATGGAGTTGGATATTGAAAGTAATTAATTTGGCTTATTTGATATGGCCTTTTTTTTTTTTAATTTTTGTTCTTCTTTTTCAAAAAGAAATTAAAAGGTTGATTTTGGCTTCTTCGCTTTTACCCGTTTCTTACTCCCGGAACTTTTTTGTTGTTGAATTCAGTTCAACTTCTTTTTCTCTGATCTGCAGACTTCAGTTTGTTTTGTTTTGGCTTGTATTCTCCCTGATGATGTTTTTAAGGTGTTGTGTGTGTGCTTTTTTCAAAAAGACCAACCAACCTCAGGTGCCTGTTTTTTGTTCTTGCCTTTCTTTATATATATATTTTTTAATATACTTTTTTCATTTTTTGAGGGGAAATTATTAATCGGGTGAAATTTTTCTTTCCCACTTTTTCATCAGCACTCCCTATGTATAATAAGTATCACTTTATCTTTTCATTCATCACCTAAAGGGTAATTTGTAGGTTGTACTTCTTCCACCTATACATGAGATTTGCATGCATTTGTACGTTTCCTTACATTAGATTAGATATACTTTGTGCCAATTCGATTTATCCATCCGTGGTATTTAATTAATTTTACTTATAATAAGTACTATTCTGTCTCAAAATGGTTATCATGTTTTGAATTTATCCATCACGATTATCGATTTGAAGTAAAAATAAAAATCCAAATCGAACAATTATTTTGGGACAAAAGAAGTGTGATCGGTTATTGGCAACAAAATGGCTACCCTAGCCCAAACAAATTGTGAGACTGAGACAACTTATTAGGTATTTTTTAGAGTAGTAATTAAATGTGAACTATACTCTAAAATCATGCACATTTTAAAAAATCAACTGTTTAACCAAAAAATAATAAAAATTATAGAAATAATAACTTTGCATAATATGCATGCACATGGAAATCAATCAACGATTGCATTTAAAGTAAAAAGCAATTGTTTCATCGATGACATGAAATTATTCTCACGCCATTTCAAGCAAGGGAGGAAATTTTCCACATGCATATTGGTTTTCTGACTGATTTCTTTCCCTTGTTCGTTTATCTCATAGATGTTTCTTCGCTTTACACATAACCATACATGAATCAATAATAAATAAATAGATATAAAGCACAAGATATATAATGTAGAGCAGTACAAGTACATCCACATGTATTTGTGGAAGTTCTTCAGTCTGTACATATAAGGGATCATATGATATCAATAAAATGATTGATCACGTACGAGTCGAATGTGGATTGAGTTGAGCAATGAAGGAAATATCAATCTAACTGGCTTTTAAGTTATGTAGGGTTTTGAAGTGGTCAACATGGAGATAGATGATTTGGAGATGCACGCAATTATCAGACATAGCTTTTGTGTATTAATTAATGATGATTTATAATCAAAATGGCGACGATTAGGGTATGTTTGTTTCGTTTTTTTAGTGTCTATTTTTAGGTGTTTTTTGTATTGAAAATATAAAAAAATGTATTAGAAACGTAAAAAGTTATGTTGGGATATGATAGTTATTATTAAAATAATTTGAGAAAACCATCCAAAAAACAAAACAAACAGAGCCTTAATAAATTGATTTTATACATGCACTGTGTTTAAACTTTATTTTTAATGAAATTATTACATTACATCGGCATTGTTAACACATAAAAACCGGCGTGCGTGAAGAATACATGTATATATAACTTCTTTTTCTTTTTGCTAGAAAACACAAGCGTTGTCGTACCTTTGGTTCTAGAACTATATAATAAGTTAAAGGATTTACGCTACCAATAAAAGTAAAAGTATATCGAATAATCAAAGTGGTGAAGAATGGAGTATGATTAGATTTGATAGTAACTATATCGTATGGCATCAATAATATCAATTAATTAGATGGAAATGCCCTTTTGTATGATGTCAGATTTCAAGCTTTTGCCAAACCAACCCTTGTCCGTAGTCCTTCAATTCGTCACGTTTTGGTAGAGCTCCCCAAACCAACAATATAATGTAATCTTTGAGGGTCCTGTTTTTTTCCCCTTTCTTTGGCTCCCATTTCGTTCAAACTAACCCTCCATGCATGCAAGTTTTAGATCATGATTAAAGGGAAAATTAATCTCATATAGTAAGACAGAATAACTAATAATTTATCATTACTCGCAAGATTTCTATGAACAAATTAATGGCACATGTATAATATGGGTCCCTCTAGAGGTCTCGATTCAGATAAACCAATGTTAGAAATTTCTTATCAAACATGTAGAATGAGAATTAGTTCGAGTGTGATATGTATTCACTCGAAACATTAAATTTTTATTTGTATAGGAAAAAATTTGTATCTCAATGCAGCAGAAACCTCATCGATTTCATGGTTGATGAAAAAAAATCGAACGTTATCTTCATTGAAGTGGTAATACTACTTCATCAAGTGATCGAAATGAAAGCTGCATACTTACATTACTGAAAATGAGGCCGCTTCAATTGCTCCGGGCGTACATTTCCTCCTGAACCTAAATCACACATATAAATTTTTATTTTCTTTTAAAAAAAAAAAGGACCACATGATCATGTGATGTAGCCCTGAAGTACACATAATAAAAACATGAACTCAGTATAGCATACCCAATAATGTATCCAGTATTTCCCTTTGATCATTCATCCATTTTATGATTTATTCGTTCATTCGTTTGGGAGGGTGCATCTAATTTGTATACCAAATCGGTGTTTGTGCATTTTTTGGGAATGAACACGTCAAAAGCCAAATGACCAGTACGTAGTGCTTCTTCTGTACCCATTTATCTTTAATGTCTCTTTCTTTACTTCCTTTTCGCATTCCCACCTTACTATAAGGCTCTCCATACTCTATGATTTCTCTTTGCTATATCCACTCGCACTTGTATTTCAAGGTTATTTTAGATTATTTTCCTTTGACCTAAAAGTATGAAGTTAATCAAGATGTGTATCTCCATCTAATGATTAAGCTAGACCTTGTGAAAATTTCACTCCTTTTTTCACCCCCTCTCCACCAACCCGCAATCAAAGGATGTAGTGAAAGAGTCTACCGACATTATACCTTTACAAGATTTTTATGGCTTCCAATATGACATCCAAGAACTCCTGCATTGGCGCTAGATATTGCATTAATTTCAAGCCCCGCCTTTTTTTTTATTGCACAAATCCTTTTTTTTTTTTTTTGCACAAATCTGTGTCCCAAGTCGTTAATGTAAAAATTAAGTTGTATTACATTTTAAGAAGCTATATTAAAAATTGAAAGGAAAAAAAAAAACAAGAGTAAAAAACACGCGAACACACAATGGAGAAGGAAACCAAAGAGGAGTAGATGAACAAAAATGACTTTCAGTTAATGAAATCGTCATATGTTAATTAGTATATCTCGGTAGCGTTGCTAATGTCATTTGCTTGCATGCATGAAATATGCATACTTTGATACCTAGGGTTATAAGACAATATTCGTACGTCATCCTCTCTAAATTTCAAATTGGTTTTTTTTTTTTTTTTTGGATTCCTAGGAGGAGCAAAGCATTTATTTTTCTGATTTCAAGAGTAAACTTGTTTAGGCTTTCAATTTAAGAGTACGTGTGTTAAAAATTAAAATCAATGTACTCAAATATACTCTTCTTTTTTCCATCTTGAGGATAAATAAAAGTAATGCACACGTAGGGGGAAACATTTCGAATATTTGTGCTCCTCCGGTGGTGGCGTGGTGGAGTTGAGTTATATAGTTAGATTGCTCCGCCGGCCGCCGCCGCAGCATAATAAAAATCCGCACCATCAATCAAACTAGTGCGGGTTTAGTAGATAGAGCCACCAATATTGACGTGAATAAAAAAAGCCCAAAAAAAAAAAAGATAGCCGAAATTCCAGGTAGAGAAGAATAAATGGATGGATAGAAATGGCGGCGAATAGAATCGAATCCGAGTCCCTCCCCTTCGTCGGAACTGCTGGTGGTGGCGAGCAAAAGGCGGGGGCCACAAGGGAACAAAGTGGGGAGTGGTCTCCCACAACAATCTGACGTTGACTCTACAGTAGAAAGCGAAAGGAGCGTGATGGGAGAAAAAGTGGGAGTTTGGGCG